GAAAAAAATGGGGGAGGGGGGGGGGGGGGGGGGGGGGATTATTAGACCTACTAAGCACTAACTATGGATACAGGAGGATTTTGAAAAAGTGTAAGTGCAAGTAAACGTGGCTTAAAAAATAGTTCAGAATTTAATTAATTGTCTAATTCTCTAGATAGACATACTAATTTTTTAGTTTTATTTTTTCATTTGTATTTACATGTAATTTTCAATATGTAATCGTTGTAATATTTGATACTCCTAATTGTATCACATAAGGTAAAATAGAGAATTTTTTTGACGAAATTTGAACCATACAACTAATTTGTTAAATAAATAAATGCTCTTTTCTCTGTGGGTCCTTTTTTTTGTGGCTTTAAATATAAAACAAATACACACTTTTTTCTTTGTGGTCTTTCTTTTTTGGGGGTAAAGTATCATTTAAATGCATTCACAAGGTTCGTCGTGAATTAATAATTATAAAATTATAATGCTAAAATTAAGAGTAAATGAATATAATGTTATTAATAAATATTTGAATCATTGAATTAAGAATAAGATATACAAAGTATAATAATATAATATAAGTTTAAACTAGATAAATCATGATATATATTTTGTTTTTAATTTTATTCTAGATGTTTCCAAAAGACTTACGGGAAAACAGTTATGGAAAGGACAAATATATCATTTTTATAATTAATTCGAGATTATTAATCTCAATTTATGAAACATTATTTGATTAGTTAAAATTTATAATCTAAAATATATGATAATGGACTATCTCGTTAAAAATGTGTTCTATAAATTGGGACAATGGAAGAATTCTTTACAACTAAAACCAAACTGACCCATACAGTTATACATCAGATTAGTATATGAGTCTTCTAAAGACTGAAATTTCCAACCGACCGTCCACTGACTTGGACAGACGACAGCTGCTGCGTTAATGGAGCTGAGATAAGGCCAAACAACAAAGAAAAAATAAACAAGTGTGAAAATACACCTAACATTAACTTGTAGAGTTTTTCTTTTTCTTCTTTTTGGATAGGATTAAAGAATCATCATCATAAAGACATATTGGTTTGCCTGAAATTGCAAGTTTTTGAAATTGAGGGAGAGTTTGGCAGACACGTGGTATTTGTCTGATTCTCCAACCCCCACCCCCAACCCCATGATGTCCCCATTTGCCCTACTCAGCACTTTACTCTGTATGTAGAGTCAAAGAAAAGAGAAGACAACACAATATAGTGGTGTGACTGGTGTCCTCCTATTACGCAAACACACATTTTCACCCTTTTGTAAAAGGGGTAGGACATTTCTTGGCAAGATTTGATTTTTATTTGGTTTTCTTGTTTTTTGGGTACTTGGAGATTGATTTGGATTTGTGGGGTTAGTTGATAATTTAGGTGAGATGGGGAAGAAAAGGGGTTTGCCCAATTGGGTTCCTAATGGGTGGAAGGTGGAGGTTAGAACACGCAAGAAAGGAAAGAAAGAAAAGGTATTTTCTTGTTCATTCCTCTTTTCTTAATCTTACATTTGTTTTTGTTGTATTTTGCATTTGGGATGATAAAGATTGATGCTTTGTTCTATTTATTTCTGATCTTCCATTGCAACTGTTATTCTTGGCTTAATATGTAGTAATATTATACAAAACCACAACTTTGCTTCCCATAACTATTTCCCTGGTTGTGTAACTAAGGGCTACTACTTTGTGTCTTCTCCTTGTTGGATAAATTAGCAAGCTTGATGTCATGCTTCGTCTGCATAGACAAACTAGGCAAAGTAATTGAACTTAGTAAGGGATACTTTGTTGAGCTGCATGCAAGCTGATCCAGACATCACTCTTAGAAAAAAGAAAAAAAGGGCTAGTTTTGGGAGTTAGTCTTCTTGCTCTAAACAAGGTTTTAACTAAAGAGGTACTAGTTTGCTTTTATGGCTGAAGTAGGTAAAGAATTCAACATGCACTTGTTTGTTGAACCTTGTAATGCCTGGACAATATAAGTATATGAAATGTCCTAGTTCTGGTGATTGGTTGAACTTTCGTATATAGTTTGTTATGTGTTACTTTTCATCTCCGGCCAGTAAATTGTCTCTGGCTTAAGCAACAACAACCATGCCTCAGTTCCAAGCTAGTTAAGGTCGGCTATATGAATCTTCACTGTCTATGCTACTCCATTTAAACTCATCCCAGGCTGTTTCTGGCTTATGACTTTCTTTAAATCCATTTTTACTTTTGAGGGGAGTGGGTGGGTAGGTGGGTGGTCTTGTGGAGTCGTAGTAGTATGATATGTCAGCCATTGCATGTCAAGTTTAGTGAGGCACCATTTTGACTTGGTCCTCAACTGTTGTCTCCTCTATAGTAAGGATTAAACTCCCTCGGTTAGATTACATAAGGGATTGGATAATTAGTTTTATGTTCACAAGCCGCGTGTCTTGTCCTTAGAATGATGCTAGTGGTTCTCACATCTGATGCTTTTGTTTTTTTCTATGTTCACAAGCCGCGTGTCTTGTGCTTGGAATGATGCTAGTGGTTCTCACATATGATGCTTTTGTATTTTCTATGTTCACAAGCCACACGTCTTGTCCTTGGAATGATGCTAGTGGTTCTCACATCTGATGCTTTTGTAGTCTCTATGTTCACAAACCATGTGTCTTGTCCTTGGAATGATGCTAGGTTCTCACATCTGATGCTTTTGTTGTCTCTATGCTTTTATGCACAGTAGTAACACACACACACACACATATATATATATATAGTATAGTAAAAAAATTCGATGAAACGGTGTCGCTTGATACCCCTTCACTCAACGTGGGTCTGCCCCTGGGAGAGAGAATGGTTGAAAAACGGCTTTTAAAAAAAGAAGAGAAAACTATTTGGAAAGAGAAATGATGATGAATCTGACGTGGATGGCTTGTCAATTATACCTGATTGGCTTAAATCTTGTTGTGGACTCGGAGGGTGGTAATAATTTCACTTCGGACAAGTATAGGGGGGTCATAGGATTCTTACAAGGTTAGGTGTGTAGCTAGAAAAAAAGGGACAAATTAGAGGGGTATTTATGTTTATCCCCTATTTATATTGTAGCAAATACAGTTTGTATGTTCTTTTTCCCCATAGCCCGTCTGCTAGCATCTTATAATTGAATTTCATCCCTCAAATTGTTTGTATATCTTAAAACCTTAACCCCACAATCCTAAAATTTTCTTTTACCATCCACCAAATTGATATTATGGTTCACATCTTTAAGATGTAATTTATCTAAGCTTTGGTCTCTAACATTGATGTGTATTTATGCTGATTGATTCTGGTGATCTGCTATTTCCTTTTTGGAAGATAAGGTGCCTATTGTGCTTTTGGTGTTTTAAGAGTACAGAGGTGCCAGTGAACCTGACATTCCATTTTGGTTGAAATGAGAAGAAAATTTAAGATTCTTTGAATGGTGTGTGGCAGGGAGTCAGCTCAGATTCAGAGTCTGCTATCTTATAACCCAACTTGTAGAATTGTCCTTGTGAGGACCATTTTATCTTTGCCAAAATGGACAAACTACATACTGCAATCTGTGCTTTTAATAGAAAATACCAAGTTTGGAAATTTTGCTTGAATGCGATGCCATTATAAATTCTCTATTCCAGAAAGGATGAATTTTGTTTATTCAGTAAGAAGCTGTGTAGTCCTATAACAGTTCTACCCATCATATCCATGCCAACCTAGTTCTCACACAACCGCTTGCAGTTTCCCTTGTTGTGCTATGTCTTTTTCCTAATGCGCCATTATGAAGCAGCACATAATAACTGCTTGATAGTCCTGTGAGTGCTTTGTTGATTTTTACTTCAGAAAGTGGGATGTATAGGTTGCCAATGGCAGTTCCTGAAATCTGGAGTCATAAAAGTTTCTGCTCTCCCACCTCGAATCCATGCACATTTTTATGAATAGAAATGTGAAAACGATAAGATTGTTATTCCTCTCCTTCTTACTGGTTCCTAACCACTAAACTGCACTTCTGTATTTCTGACTGTATCTATTGTGTTTATTGCAGTGGTATATTGATCCCTCAAAAGGACTCAAATTCTGCTCCAAGGCGGACGTTCTTCACTATCTTAGCAGTGTTGACAGTAATTGTTCTAAGAGTTCTAATACAAAAGAAATGGAGAAGAAAGGCACCGAAAAGGTCTCATTGGTTAATTTATATTTTCTACCAATGTAGTGCAACCAATTTTTCCCCCTTTTGTGAGGGGAACCTCCTTCATATGAAGTTCTCTCCCTTTGTATTGGCCCTTACAGTTTCTCTGTTTTCCACGATATAGTGTTTTACTGAGAAGACTGCATCAGAAGGGTTGCCACCAGGATGGATTAAGGAATTGAAGGTCAGGAGAAAGGGGCGCAAGATCAGGAAAGATCCGGTACTAACTCCCTCGTTATTTTCATATTTTAATGCCTACCAGCTTAGCAATAACTGGAAATATGTACTTATGTGATTACTTAATCGCCTTTGCAGTATTATATTGATCCTGTCAGTGGACAAACTTTCCGCTCTATGAAGCAAGTTTCTCGGTTCCTTGAAACTAGAGAGCCGGGAAGGTTTGAATCCACGCCCGATAATCGATGTCCTGATACAGTAAAACTGGAAGAACCTTCTTCTTCTGTAAGTGTGAATGTTTTTTGCACGCTCATTCTCATTTACGGGTATTATCCTTTACTTTGGTGGTTAAAAGTCCATAGGTTTTCATAAGCTAGTTAGAATCCAAGAGCTCTTGTTTACAATGATTTATGGAGGTAATTAGTAAGTAGAGAAACATGGTATCAAAGAAATTTGAATTGTATGATAAAATTACACCTCAAATTACTGGAATTTATATATCTCTGTTAGTGGAAATGGTAGTATTCTTATTTTTTCACCAACTTGGCCACAGAAAAGTCTGTCCTGTTCATACCTTACAAAGCTTATTTAGACATCTGTAAACAAACTGTTTACATCCAACTCTAGAGAACTTTGTGAGGTTCTGAATATTAGCTGATCCAACTTTGAGGGGAAACCTCCAAGAAAAGAATCATTCTTTCCATAGTCTTTTAGTCATGCTAAACGTTTGTTGGTAATTTCAGATTTGTAGCATCTTCTGATCTCCTTTTCCTTCATAAAACTAGAGGAGATCAGACTCTTAATACAGTACATTCTTCACGACCTCCTTTTGTTATAATCATTTGAAACCGTTTATTTGTAATCCCATTGCATACAGGGCAGACTCCCACACATGAAACTCGTTAGGAAGACTTCAAACCACTTAGCCATGCTTCAAATTCTCCATGGTAAATCTTGATGAACTAATCTTTTAGTTGGTTTCTGGTATTCGCTAGTTTCCTGCTGAAGCTGACAAGCAGATGTCGCTAGACAGTGATGCATCTGGCAAGGAAGTTAATTCGAATCAGAAGCTGAAGTTGGGTGCTGAACATATGACACATTCCAGTTGCGTAGAAGGCGGTATGTCATCCTGTGAAGGTATTGCTCACAATTGGAACGTTCTGATGTTTCTGTTTCATATGGAGTATTTAAATGCTTTATTTATGCTCTTAAGTCATTAATTTATTGTAAGTTCCTTTTCATTCCTCTGGTACAGATTTCCTTGTGAATTCAAGAATTAATTTATTGCTGAAATTCTTGGGGAAAATGCTTTTAATATGTTGGAATCGAAATTCTTTTGGTACTGCAGCCTCTAGATGGGTCAAGAGATGTCATTTTATGTCATCAAAATTCAATTACTCTAGATGTCAAGTGTTTTTTAAGTAGTTTATCAAAATGAGTGGTTCTAATTTGGAAGTGAGAACTATTGCAGGTTTAGGAGATGCTGTAGCAGGGGAGAATGTTGGGAAAGTTGTTTCAGATCCTGCAAGTGAAGAACGTCAAGAAAAGGACGATGATGGTGAAGTTGTCTCGAATACTGCTAGTGGAGAACATCAAGAAAAGGAGGATGATGATAAAGCTATTTCAGATCCTGCAAGTAGAGAACATCAAGGAAAGGAAGAGGATGGTAAAGTTGTCTCGGCTACTGCAAGTGGAGAACATCAAGAAAATGAGGATGATGGTAAAGTTGTCTCGGAAACTGTAAGTGGAGAAGATCAAGAAAAGCCATCACGAGATGGAGCGGAAAAGCATGACCAGAAAACATTTCAGCGGAAAAGAAAAAAGGGTATGAACTTGCCTCGCAGAGCATCCAAACGGCTTGCTGGTATTAAAGCTGATACATCTCTTAAGCTCCAAACAAATGATCAAACCCAGCTAACTTCAGTTAGACAGCAGGAGAGGACACAAGCTGCCACCTCTGATAACCCTTTGAATTTTATTAATACCAGTAAGCATGTTGCAACTACAGTAACTGGTATTACCATCAGCAAGAAGGTAGAAACTGGGAGTCTGACTATTAAAAGGAAAAAGCGTCTTGTTGCTTCATCACAAACGGAGCGAGAGAAGAAGCCTTCTCCAGCTGAGCCTGCAAAAACTGTCCTTGCTAGCTGTGAAGGCGATAAGAAAGGTGAAACAGCTCTCGAGTCATCTTTAAGTGATCTTTGGACAGACCCCTGCATAGAATTTGCAATAAAAACTCTAACCGGCACAATTCCAGTCATAAACGAAAAGAAAGTGGATGAGATCCCGGGTTCTAATTCGAGCAAGCCCTCTGTTAATACTCCTTCCTCTGTGGGCTTACCTTCTGATGAAATATGGGCAGATCCTTGTTTCATGTTTGCTGTCAAGACTCTTACTGGTGAAATACCGATAGGGGACGACTTATGCTCTCAGAAGATAGTCCAGCAGCAATGCACTTCATCACAATTCCAAGGAAATAATGGTTTAGTATTACCAAACATCAGATTTGAAGAGTTTGGCCAGGCTAATCTTCCGCGCTATGCAGCACCAGAAATGTCTTCATACAAGCAACAGCCTGCAGTAACCCCTAATGCATACCAGAATCGTTGGTTCGCTAAATTTGGTTCTCATCGGCCTTCACCACTTTGTTGAGAAAGATCATGGTAGATTGTAACTTAGCTTAGGAAGTTCAACCTAGCTTGTAGAAGTATCATTATAACTAAAGTGCCTAAGTTAGCACAAGCTCAAATTTTCAAGCAGTAAAAACTATGATGTAAAAACATTATTCACAAACTGCCTGTTCTGTGTAATTGTTGTTGTAAAACTTTTATGTTAGGCAGCTTTTCATTCTGCTTCATAGACCAAAAGAGAAGAAAAAAAGAGCATGGATAAAAGGAATACAACTTTTTTGTTTTAGAATATGTGTTAGATCTTAAAGCAGGCTACTTGGGCTTGCTTTTCACTGGGCACTAGAAATGTCAGGTCAGTATGAGGTAGAGAGAGCTATGTTGCTTTTGAGTCTCACATAGGTAAGGTTAGTTCAAAATCGAATCGAAATCGATAATTTAAATAGAAATTTATTGATAATGGGCTATTGATTTAGCGGTTTTGGTAAGTTTTTGATTTTTTCCGATTATCAGATCTTTGTTTTTAACTGTTTGAGTTTTTTTTCTTAATTGATTGATCGATTAAATTAAATAATTATATTTATACCATTTGTTGTATAAAGTATTTGATTTAGAGTTTAGTTTCATACTTTATTTCTGGTTGTGTCAAACTCTAGCTTATTCTACAATTTAGTAATGTTTGCTTTTGAGCAAAATGTAATCTCTTAATTCATTTGGTTTGTCACCTTGTTTCTAATTAATTATAATTTTGAAAACTTTTTTAAAAATTAATTATTTGATAATCTAATTAGTTTGACATTGAAATGTTTAATAAAACATTTCAAAAAATTGAAGACAACTTTACAAGTCAATATTAAAACATGGTTGAATCATTAAGAAATAAAAATTAACTATAAATTTAATTGTATTTTTAATTATAATTATATGGATAATAAAAATTCAAAAATATGTGCATAATAATTACTAAGAGAGTAGCAATAAATTTTAAATTTTAATTAATAGTAACAATGAATATATAATTTTCTTATATTCTACCCAGGTGTTTTGTTCGGTGCTCCTCACAATTGCCTTCATGAGATCTGTTCGTCTCTTTTATGTATGTATGTATCTCGAGCCTTCATCTTCTTTAGGTTCTTCGTTTAATCTTGCCTTTTGGACGAATTTATTTCTTTTTGTGCATCTTCGGTATGTTTTCGTATTTGAGCGAACTGAATTTGGGGTTTTTTTTCGGCTTAAAGCCCCTGCGCTTTAGGGTTGAGCCGCCCTTGAGGTGTATCGGAAACAGCCTCTTTGCCTACCTAAGGTCTGTGTACGCTGTATCTTCCCTAGGTTACACTTGTGGGATTACTTGTTGTTGTTGATTATCTCATATTAATAAGCATGTCGATTTATCATAACCTATGCTGTCTCCAGGCGCTTATCATCCCTACACCTTCCAGATGAAAAATATTTACTGTTATCTATTAAAAACTGAACAATTTGCAGAAATGGATTGTAAATGTTTGTTAGAAATTCTCAGGGGTCTTTTGGAACCTGCAACTTATTATTTAGTCTATTAATGACATTATCTACAATGAATTCTTCATTTTATCAAAAGAGTGTTTGACAGGTTTTTTTTTTTTCTTTTGTTGGTTCAGGGTAACCAGTTGGACTGCAACTGCTTGAAGGATTGAGTTACATTGAGAAAATGAAGTAATGTCTCTTCCTGTTCTGTGAATTCTGTTTACATCTTGGGCTCGCTTAAACTCAGATTTCAGTTTCTAATGAATGCCACATAGACAAGATTGAGAAAAGAAATACTGTATGCACGTATTAATTTACTGTAAGTAGACTGAATGTGCTGTTTGGGACCCAAAACCTGTTCATTTTTTCTCCTGTATATGTGTTCCATAACATGTTTAATACCTTGAGTTATGCTTTACTTGATCACAAGAACAAAAAACGGTTCCCTTGAATATATTATTGCAAGCTCAGTTATTTTTGGGGTATGCATTGGTGCTAATGTTGTGTTCTCATCATGATTTTAATTTTTGTTTTATCTGTTCTTCTGAATAATTGGACTTATTTTGGTCTGCCTGCGGTATGAGTATTGTTAGCAATGCAAATTTAATTGCTTCGAACATTTTCTGTTGGTGTAGAAGGGGGCATGTTAAGTGGGATGAGGCAAATTTGGGAGAAATTGAGGCAAATAAACCGGTGAGGCAGAAAATTACTGAACCAAAGACACCATATCACCGCATGATCGATGATGATGGTATGTTCATGAAATTGACTCCTCTTTTTATGTCTGTTTGTCTCAGTTCTAAATTTTTTGTCTCATGCAAGCTTCATATATTGATCAAATAATGTGGTGGTGTGAGCTGAGCTGTCATTTTCTGCCTTTCACATGCCAATCAGTCTCTCTTTAATAGAATTTGATGCTTGGTAGGCTTATAGATAGATGAAACATGATTAATGTAATAACCTGGTTTTATACTCTTGCTAGTCTTCTTTTTCTTCTTTTTTCTATTTTTCTTACCCTGATGATTTATGCACTTACTCCTTTTTTGAATAACCGAGAAACCCTCCGAGGGCTAATGGCACACAGTTCGAAATTCGGTAGATAATTTGCCAAACTATGTACTCTTCTCTACTTAAATACTAGGCTTTGTATGCAATAGGTTCAAACCCATGATGTGCGCCTAACACATCACACTTCGTGCTCTTACCACTAGACCAAAGCCCAACAACAACAATATACCCAGTATAATACCACCAGTGGGGGCTGGGGAGGGGAGGATGTATGTAGACCTTACCTCTACCTTTGTGGGGCACTAGACCAAAGCCCCTGGGGGATGATTTATGCACGTACTGATCTTCTTTTCTTCCCTTTTTAGATTAGCTTCCATGAGAGTGATGATTTGGGTGGAAACATTTTAAGAAGTCAACTTTCTTCATCAATTCTTTTTTATTAAGAATTAAACTTATTTGGATCATTTGGTAGTATTTTTTGTAAACATCCTAAAAGTTTCTTTACATGGTGCTTATACGATTTAAATGTTTTTGTAATGCTACTGGTGCATTTTATATTTCTGTTTAATTTTCTTTTTATTGTTATTTAGCTCAGGGTAATTGATTATTTTCCTCAAAGTTAAAATGTCAAAGTTGATGTATATTCTTCTCAAAATGTCAACACCTTTGAAGTTTCTTATATGGTGCCAAACCTTCTATAATCTGTTGGTGGTGGAATATAAGAGTTACTACCCTTATGTTTGGGTATTTGAAGCCTTAGGTTAGGCTTCTAATAATGGCATTGATGCTTAATTTATTATTATGTATGAGAAAATTGGATTATCCAAAAGCTCCAAAAAATTCTTGAATAATTGATCTTCCAAGTAAGATTTCCGTGACTTCATCAAACACAGACATTCTGGTATTTTTCCTTTATTTGAGTCTAATCCTCGTTAGTGTATACAGTTTCTATCCTGCCACTAAGAGAATTACTGAGCATTATTAGGGGCTTTGCGTGATTTTATTTCTCGTTACTCCTCTGTAGTTCCAGTTCTTTTGCATTTGCAAGGGTCTCATTTGGTATGAGTTGTTAAGACATGATGTAGTTACTCTATCTAATTGAATTTATTAAGCAGATAGGGTTTCCTCTTTTTCTTTGTTCAACTCGTGCCAGATTTATCAGAAAACATGTTTGGAACTCCATTTTTAGGTTAAATATTTTTGTTTGGATACACATGATGGAGTTTCACCTATTTCTTTTTACAAATTTAACCTCCAAAAAAAAGAACTATACAGTTGCACAAATTGTCATTACATCTAAAGATGAAATAAAATAAATACACAGTTGAAAATTTGTTGTTTTGACTAAAAATATTTTTGTAGTAAAAAATTAATAGAATTTCAGTCAAGTTTTTTTTTACAGATTTGGAGTGGAAAAGAAGAAATACACACTAAATTGGAATAAATAACCATTGTACCTAAAGAAGATGCAAAGAAAATATAAAGTTGGGGTAAAATATGTGTGGTATGTTAAGAAGTAAGAAGAAACGCACAATTTGGAACAAATAAACTATTATATATGATTATGCAGCAATTTAACAGTTGGAAAGTACCTCATTTAAAAGCTGATTTTTCAACTTTTCTTCATTCTCACACGCCTAAAAGGGAGTGTATCGATGTTCGGTGCCATGACAACATTTTGGGGGTGAAGGCTATCAAATCGTCAAGTTTGGGGGTACATCATTATGTGTCCTATATGACTAGTCTTGTGTCCGCTGCATGAGTATGTATTCAAGGCGGCTATGTTGTGTTTTAGTAAGTTTGTAGTGTATCTTGAAAGATCCACCATATGAAGTTCCTATGCTGGTGTGATACTTGCTCAACATGGTTATATTGAAGAAAACATGAAGGTTCCATGTAAAGTAGCTAATAGATAAGCTCTATAGTCCTGCGTTTTGATGGACTAATCATTCATCTGTATTTAGAGAGGAATGTTTATATTGGTCTTTGAATGATAGCTTATATCGCCTAAATCTATGCAAGTTCATTTCTTCCTCTTGACTTTTTCTGATTTTGGTGATGTTGTAGGATCTTTATCTCCTCTACGGGGTAGTTTTGAGGAAGGCAATGGTGATGCAGTACATGCAGAAGCCATACGCAGTGCATTGAATGAGATGGCTTCTTCCAGTAAGAATAAATCCCGACGGTCTGGCTGGACGTCATCTGAGGATGAAGCCGATGTCATGGACCAAGATGATGCAGGTTTAGTTTGATCTTCAAGAGTTTAAAACCCAAAATACATTGAATCATGTTTCTAATTCTTATTGAATGTCTGGTGTACTTAGTTCTTCAGGACTACTATTTTCACATTTGTTAATTTGTCATAGGTATATATGCTTCTTGACATTCATTTTCTGTCTTTTTCCGTCAACAATCTTCACTTATCTGAAACTACGTGATCATATTGATAATCAAGGAGGGAAAAAAAGCATTATGCAATTATATTGGTTATTCAGTTTCTGTTCACCGCCCTTTTATTTGCTTAGTTATTTCGGTTATCAAGTGCTTGATACCTTCTTTTGGATCATTATGAGTGTTTCTTCATCCCTCCTTTTTAACTTCTTTTTCCCTTTGGGTTTTCCTACCTTTTGATTTGAAGACTTGGGGTTGGCTTGGGTGAGAGAGAGCCAAGAGGAGGGAAAGGGGGTCATTGACGTCTGAGTTGGCTAGCGTTGCAGCCAAAGGAAATTGTCTTATCCAGTAAGCTTGAATAGAACTTTCTAGTTCTGTTTTACCCATACCCTATATGAATTGGGACCTTTCAATTGATTGATTTCGCCATGCACAGACACAGGAGACAACCCTCTTTCTATATTGGGTTCCTTTTTTTTCTTTTCTCAAGTGTATTTTGTTACTGGTTGAGTTTCATTTGCACTATTCAGTGATTTGTATTTTGAATGCGAATTCAAGTATGCTCAGGTATCTGATATTTTTCTGTAATGTGATAGATTCTGGTTCTAGGAAGGGAAAAAACTTCAAGGACCACAGGCGAGCACACTATGATGAGTATCGGAGAGTCAAAGAACTCCGTAAAAAGGGCGAACAAGCATCAGACGATGAGGATGAGGATGAGGATCTTGTGGGAAAGGATGGAAGGTCTGATTCATCATCATCATTGAGTACTGCTGTTAAGGACATAGAGATTAAGGAAGGTAGCATGGACACTTCTAAATAGTACTCTTCCCCAGGCCTTGGAGCTCAGATCAAACCAGATGAACATTGTTGATTTTATTTTATTTTCATACTCCCTTTGTTTATATCCGTCCAACTTCTGCTTGTAACTTGTGTATTAAAGATTTATCAACCTTAAGGATGATAAATAATATTCACCGGATATAGTAGCAGTAGGTTTTTCCTGAGAATCTGTGTGTTTTTTTTGGTAACAACTATAAAATATTACCATAACCACCAAAGAACATATACAATTAAAAGAGCACCTATTTCTGAAACAGAGAATAGGCCTCTAACAAAACAAAATACCTAGTTACATAACAAATGCTGAATAAAGTGTCTACATTTATTTGCTCTCTTAGAACTACTAAGTAAGTGTAATCTTTCACTGATTTCCTTCTTTATCTGTGTTACTGCCTCTTCCGTATGTACACATGTCTCTAAATCTCCTCCAATTCCTAGCACGCCAAGTGTGGTATATGATTGCTTCGCAGATAGCTGCCATGATCTCTTTTTGAATTGCTTCCAACGATTCCCTTTTATGTTTTCCAGGACCTGTACAATACCAATATTATGCACTGGTACTTCTGTCCATTGGTGCATAGCTTGCCACACAGCTGATGTCCATTTGCAATCTTCAAAGAGATGAACATTAGTCTCCATTACTTTTTCCTCACATAAACAACATGCAGTATCCTCCACCTGAATCTGCAGTCTCAACTTTCTTTCCTGTGTGAGTAATCTTCCTTGAACTGCTAACCATGTCATGAATCCATGCTTTGGCATAGCCATTGACGTCCAGACTAGTTCAGCAATATTCCATCTAGGTTAGGACCCATGAGTGCTTGATAGCTCTTGGTAATTGAATACTTACCAGTTTGAGTCAGCATATATCTTCTGTGATTGTACCAGCCCTGCATGTGCTCTTTGAGTGCATTAATTTTCCTCCAATACCAACTACAGTCAATAGGAGTTTTATGAGTCCATATTGAAGTGTCATTCTTCATATATATGTTGTGAACCCATTTAACCCACAATGACTCTTTGTTAACTATAATTTGCCACAATAATTGGCCCACAGATGCTTTATTCCAATTACTACAACCTTTTAATATTCAAACCACCTTGTCTTTTTGGAAGACACACTTTATCCCATGCAACCAATGCTACCTTCTTCTTATCAGCACTGCTTCCCCATAGGAAATCTCTGCATATCTGATCCACTTTCTTGAGAATACTCTGGGAAAGGATGAATACTGCTCCCCAAAAACTATGAATTGAGAACAGTACTGCATTAACCACTTGCAATCTCCATGCATATGAAAGTTGTTTAGAGTATGTTACTTTTATTCTGTGAGTAATCTTGTCTATCAGGGACCAACACTCAATCTTCTTCCATTTCTTAGGTGACAAGGGGAGTCCTAGGTATTTAATTGGAAACACACCCTCTGAAAATTCAGTTCTGGCTAGGATTTGCATTTTGACCCTCTCATCTACCCCAGCTAGGTACACATTAGATTTCTCCAAATTGGCCTCCAAACCAGTAGCAGCATTGAAGTGAGCTAATGTTTCCATCACTCTATTCACTGAGTCCACATATCCTTTGCAAAAAATCATCAGATCATCAGCAAATATAAGGTATGTAAGTTTCAGTTTCTTGCACATTGGGTGGTACTTGAAGTCTGGCAATTGACTCATTGTATGTAGTGTTCTAGACAGGTACTCCATCACAAGTACAAACAACAAAGGAGATATTGTATCTCCTTGCCTCAATCCTCTTCTACCTACAAAAAACCCATGGCTTCCCCCATTTACTTTGACTGAGAACATGGTGGTTGTTACTCCCAACATAATCCACTTCACAAACTGTCCAGGAAACCCAAAATGAATAAGTACTTCCTCCAGGAATTCCAAGCTAACCATATCATATGCTTTCTTCAAGTCTATCTTCATAAGACATCTAGGAGATGCGTTCTTCCGATTGTAATGTCTCAAGATATCATGGCAAATGAGTACATTATGCATCATTGATCTTCCTTGGACAAAAGATGATTGGTTCTTTGCACCTATAAGACTAGTAGCTGATTTCAGCCTACTACAAATTAATTTTGATATGCACTTGTAAATGACATTACAACAAGAGATAGGTCTGAATTGACTGGCAAATTCAGGCTTATCAATCTTGGGAATAAGTGCAATACTAGTTGAGTTAATCTGCCTCAGAATCTTGCTGTTCTGGAAAAATTCTAGCACTGCATTTGTAACATCTTCTCCCACAATAGGCCAAGCTGATTTATAAAATCCACTTCCAAATCCATCTGGTCCAGGACTTTTATTACTATCAATCTGAAATATTGCCTTCTTCACTTTTGCTGGCTCAAAACTTTTAATTAATTCACACTGTTGTTCCTTTGCAAGCACCATTCCTTTCCTTATTAGTTCCCCAGTTGCTGGCCTTCTATTCACTGTCTCATTGCCTAGAATTTCCTCATAATACTCCACAAATAGTGTTGCAATGACAGCAGGGTCAGTTTGCCAGTTTCCTGATTTGTCTCTCAATTGTGTTGTGGCATGCTTCAACTTCCTATGTTTAATGAATGAGTAGAAGTACCTAGTATTATCATCTCCCAGTCTTATCCATGTAGCCTTGCTTCTTTGTTGTAAGAATATTTCAGCCATATATGAAGATCTTCTGAATTTCTGATACAGTTAGCTCTCAACTTTTTGATATTCTACATTGCTTGGATCTGTTTGTAGTTGTACCTGAGCCTGTTGCAGCTTGACCCTATCATCATTTGCTTCACTCACTATATTCTGGAAAGCTTGTGAGTGTAATTAACTAACATGTTTATTACATATAATTCTAGAATAATTAGTAGTTTTATCTCTCCTTTAAAATAATTCAAAGATCAAACTAAGGTTTCGTGTGATTTGGAGGAAAATATTTTCTGTTTTATAATGGTTGGTCAAAATATTTACAAATTTCTTTGTGTAGAAAAACAAGTTCTTTGGAAATGAAGAAAATTACTTCTTTATAGGGAGTAAAGAAAATAAGTTTTAAAAGTGATGTTTTGGAGGTTTTCTTCAATCTGGTGGTCCCAATAAAAAAAAACATTAGAGCTCGCCGGCCTCAGTTGGCAAAATCAGGGTTGTGTGGGGAGTTGTGAAGATTACTGAATGCTATTGTTATTTATTTCACTTGAGATAGGCCTTCTTACCACTGCTTCTGCCTATTACTATTCTTTTGTTGTGCTTCCTGGACAAAAGCTAAGTTCATTATCTTCTCTTCACTTATCAAACGCCCCAACCCCTCACCCTTTCGTACAGGGTTGTGTGGGGAGTTGTGAAGACAACTGAATGCTATTGTTATTTATTTCACTTGAGATAGGCCTTCTTACCACTGCTTCTGCCTATTACTATTCTTTTGTTGTGCTTCCTGGACAAAAGCTAAGTTCATTATCTTCTCTTCACTTATCAAACGCCCCAACCCCTCACCCTTTCGTACTCTTCTATTTTTATTTTATTTTTTTGTATTTCCTCTCATTTTTCTATTTGTATTTATTTAGAGAAAAGTATTTGAAAACACTATTTAACTTGATGTAAAAAAAACAAAAAAACTTGATGTAGACGGAGTATTAGTTTTGTCCTTCAACTATTGATAGTTTTAAAAACGATCTTCTACTTGACTAACTAAACTTAGATACATTTAATAATCTCAAATTCTTGTAAGAGTATAGGAACTCTTGATAAAAAACCGAAACAAGTATTGAAAACATCATGGAACTAATAATTTGTTATCCATATCAAATTTTGGTGTTTTCAATATTTCTCTCCATGTATTTATTTTTTGCTGTGGAGATAAAGAGACGTTAGCCACAACTTGGAAGTCAAACAGACAATGCGTAAGAGTTAGATTTTTTTTCATTATTGAACAGGTGAAATTGCAGAGAGAATTAGCGTCAAATGGCCGAATCGAACCCAACAGAATCAGCTCTACTAGCTTCAAAAATATGCAATCAGATAAGCTCCGTCTTCACCGCAAAATCCCCAAATCCAGCAGCACTAGACGTGCTGGTGCAAGAAATCGCAGATGCTGCTAACCGTAACGGCCGAGTATTCCTATACGGCGTGGGCCGTGAAGGATTGATGCTGAAAGCCCTATCCATGAGGCTTTTCCATCTCGGTTTATCAGCACACTGCGTCTTCGACATGAACACTCCTCCAATTGGTCCCTCCGACCTCCTAATATCCTCCGCCGGTCCAGGTGGTTTCTCCACCGTCGATGCGATCTCCGGAGTGGCCAAATTTAATGGCGCTCGTGTACTGTTGCTGACAGCTCAGCCTGATTCGGGATCTTCAATGAAGTACGCGAGTGCTGTTGCTTATATTCCGGCTCAGACGATGGCGGATGATAATGCCGGAGACGGAGAGAAGGAACGGCCGCTGCTTCCGATGGGTAGTGTATACGAAGGAGCGATGTTTGTGCTGTTTGAGATGGTTGTTTTCAAATTGGGTGAAATTTTGAAGCAGAGTCCTGAAGCTGTGAGAGCACGCCATACCAATCTGGAGTAAGCAGAAGTTAACATTTGTGTACTGTATTTGGTTCTTCACTAAACTAGATGTTAATCTGCGTGCTTTATGCTTAATCTGTTTGATTATACTTACTGAATTCAGTACTTTCGACGCAGATATGCTGAGCATAAATTTATATGTAAAAAGTTCATTAAAAATTACAGTGAATAATCAATATGAACTCATTAGCTTTAAATAGGTAATGGATTTAAGAAAGGAAAAAAAAACTTAAAAATTGGATCCATAAAATTAAAATCCTGAATCGCAGTGATCTTTTCATGATGAGTTCCATCATTTGAAAAACTGTTATGCTATTCAGTTGATTGATTAATGGAATAACTGATGATGGTCAGAACAAGAATTTTGAAAAAGTGGAATTCATGTGTAAATGGTGATTGGTGGCTATGAAGGAAAATACTTCTTATACAGAAGTTTATGAATTTCTAACCTCAAGTTAATATAAAATAATAATTAGATTATAATTACAAAAACAATAATATACGTAATTCTATTATTGCGGTTCAAGAGAATAGAGTGTATGCAATTTTATCACTATCTTGTGAATGTAGAGAGGTTGTTTCTGGCAGACCATCGGTTCAAGTGCATCAAATTCAAGTACAAAAAAAAAAGATAATGCAGAGAAAATCATAGCAACTAATAAGGATAGAAAGAAGGAACAAAAACAACAAAATGATGTGATAATACTAAATAGCATTGTATATCATAGACAATAATAAATATAAAAAATAAGAACTATAATAATACCGTCAATACAATAACAAACACCAACAAATAATCTAGCATTAAAACAAAGAAAATGTCATCTAGCATAATAGTACTGGAAAACCAAACAAGCCTTGATATTTTTGAAAGAATCGATATGACGTCTAAATACAAGTAATACGAATTCATTAGTATATAATATATGAATTTAAGTTATATATAATGAGTAAAAAAAGGGTATGATGTCCAAATACAAAGTAAATATGAACAATATACAATTTCTTTTATAATTTAATCAGCTATAGCAAGTTATTACTTTGTCAAATTACCATGTTCAATTTGTCAAAAAAAATTATCTAATATTGTAAGTCAACATAACATAATGGTGTAAAAACTTCATACACTATAAATTCACAAGACTTATAGCCATTAATTCAGCAACATAACTGGAATACTTAAGATATACATAATTTCTTAATTTTAATTAATATTTTAATTTCATTTCTTAAGCAAGACTAGACATAACACATAAGTTGATAAGAGTGTGGTAATTGATAGTAATTAAAGTCAAAAAGGAGAAAACAAAAGGAAATGGCAAGTGATGGAAACTCTTGCATATGAGATGTCGTGGTTAATCACTAATCAAACATCCGTAATTAAATTAAGCATGATACTTCTCCTAACCACATTTTAATTTGCCGCTAATTACGTTAGCTGTGCATGTACCTACCTACGACTTATTCTATATTGAAAAAAAAACATGATTTACGCATTTCGCATATAAATATAAATATTTATCATCTAACTATGGTTGGTGATATGTCATTCTACTTTAAATTATTTAAAATAGTACAAATACTAATTAACAACATATATAAGTATTTTCAGTCAATTGTTAGGTTCTTGGCATAAGTTTCTTTGGAATCCTGCAATATGGATCGGCTACTTAGTTACATTTATGGCATGGCATTAAGTAAGCTCCTTCTATTGTGAATATAAAATAGAGTAATAATTGATACGGGAGTAAAAAAAACTGTGGGAATAAGATAAAGATCGGATTCAAACTCCATTGTGACTCTTTCACCTTCCCACAAAATTACTACTCTTGCCGTCTTGCGTACTCTCATGGTCCAAAAGTCATTTTACTATTAGTATATAGTTTTTCATTACCATTCATTTGACTTTAATATGTGTTATTTCAACTGAGAATCTATCGAAAATAACCTGTTTATTTTCATATGGTAGAGCTAAATAAAATTACGTACGCATCAACCATCACCATTTTCTTCGGATTTCATATATAAAACTATATGGTATATGTCATCGTTGTTATATTCGTTCGATTTTAATATATTGTTATCCAAAATCTCAAAAGAAAAAAAAATGGAAGTAGAAAGGTAAAAGTTAAGTAAAGCAATCGCATCACATGTGGTGTTGTTTAACCCTAAAAATATCTTCATGAGAATTTTAGGCAGCCCTATTATTCTACTATAATGCGCGCGCACCCACCTCATAGTTATGGGTCAACAAGATTGATGTGCTTAGGCCTTAGTCTACTAAAATATTCCTCCTTACATTTAATAATCACTACATTATTATGTTTGGACAAAATATCTCCAATCACGTAATGAGTTGAATAGATCTTGAGTTTAACTCAATCTCATCCCTTAATCAATATCGGAGATTCAACCCCCCCCCCATCCTCACGTCCAAACCTACAAACTGAAGCACATTAAAAACATTGGCATATTACAGTATCAAATAAATTAAATTTAGCAATGGACAAATTTTATAGCTAAACAATAAAATTCGTTATTAATCCTACTTAGCGATGAATTAGCAATAGATTTTTGCCAACTACAAACAAATAGCGACGAAATGTGTAACTAATTGTCTTTTCATCACATTAAAAATAAAACAAATAAATAGTTATATTTTTTTAAAATAGTAATTATTTTAAGGGAAAAGGGTCAAAAATACACTTAACGTATAGGAAATGGCTCAAAAGTGCCCTCCTTCCACCTATTGGATCAAAAATGCCCTCCCATCCACCTATTTGGATAAAAAATGCCCTCAAGATTAAGTTTAAGCCTAAAATTACCCTTCCTTTTAACAGAAGTTATGTGGCATAAATAATTTTTTAAAATTAAATATGTGGAATTATTTTTATTTATCCACATGCAATTAACTAAACCCAATTTCATTCACAATCATACCTATTAACCCAAACCCATTTCTTAAAAACCACATATTTAATTAAAAGAATTTTTAATGCCACATCAGCTTCGGTTAAAAGGAAGGGTAAGATTAATGAATGAAAGATAAAAGATCAACAACTTCTATTTACAACATACATTTTTTTTAAAGAAAAAAGATGAAATAAGAAAATAAACTGAAGGGATAAATTAAACTAGGTGCTTATTCTATTCTATTCTATTCTATTCTACTATATTATAAAAGAGAGTTTAGGGCCAAGTATAATATATAATATTCAAGATTGGGACTTTTCCCAATCTTGAATATTATATATCATACTTGTGGGACTTTTAAAATTCTATTTTATACCCAAGTATAATATATAATATTCAAGATTGGGACTTTTCCCAATCTTGAATATTATATATCATACTTGTGGGACTTTTAAAATTCTATTTTATACCCAAGTATAATATATAATATTCAAGATTGGGACTTTTCCCAATCTTGAATATTATATATCATACTTGTGGGACTTTTAAAATTCTATTTTATACCCAAGTATAATATATAATATTCAAGATTGGGACTTT